AAAACATAAGAAGAAAAAAGTAATTCATTGACTACTGCCAGGATCAACATCGAATTTCCATCTTGTTTAATAAAAAACTTTTAAAAAAACTAGCGCTTTATCGCTATTGACTGCACACTGCCGATGGTGGGCACGTACTAACCACGTATCGTTACGTGTTTGTTGAAATGGGAAAGGTCCCTTTGCAAAACATAGATTCTTTGTTGGCAATGTTATCACTAGATCATTCAAATCACTCTCACATTGCTAATTCATCTATTCATAAATATGACGATATTATATAGCCATATTATATTCCTCAAAGCCATAGTTCCTTAATATCGAGGGGTCAGTGACACAAAGACGTAACCCCACTTTGGCCATTTTGAGAAAAAGTGGTTTATGTATTACTGAACACTTGGTTAAGTCTAAGACTCACTAGCCATTGATTCAATGTGGTATTTGGTGAATACTGGGAGAAGGCCCACGGATGAAATTCTTTTTGCAGAAATCCTTACCTTTCATTGAAACTCATCAACGCATCTTAATGTACTGGCCACCAGGTTACAAAACAAATAAGAACACTGTTTAATTGTGTGAATTTACAAATATAGTTAAATCATTCAAAGCTATTCATTTTGATAGCTTTCCAGCTATTGAATATTAGGTTAGTCTCTTATTCACACATTTTAATTCTATTCTGATGGGACACGTAAGTCTACGGAGCCTTTGATCAGTATTCTACCAATTCAGTTAAACCCCAATCCGGGTCTCAGATCACGTTTAACAAAGGAAAAAAACGAGACATCAGACAATCTTCGTTCGTTAAACCCGATTTGAAACAAAAGCGTAAACACAACACAGTTACAATCCATCAGTGTCTTCCTTGTTATTAACTGAAAAGTACGTTCATAATCCATCATTGTTTACACCTACAGTTTTCTCTCATATTTATTTATAACACCGATTGAATTCAAAAGTGATAAATGGGTGTCTTTTTCGACAAGATTGTTAATCGGCTATTACTTACATTACATAGTGACACAATATGCACGCAAGTAGTATTTCATATTCATACAATAATGCATGCGACTAGCATACCTCAACGGCCACCCTAGCACCATTATGGAACAATTAAGTACATGTGTAGTATAAAAAAAGAGCAATATAAACTTGAACTATATATATATATATTTATATATATCTCAAATTTGGGGTGCATTTCGAAATGGTAATTCATTTGTGACGTCAGCAATACGTCACTTCGATGAAGAGAGGCGGAGTGAAAGAGGACGAGTTGCACTCTGCTACTTTTGATGCTGTTGGTAGTCATGGAAACCTCCTCCATCTTGCTTCTGTGTCTAAAAAGACAGAATGATATCAGAATACAAATAAGGACTGATGATTTTTTGTGAAACAAAGTCTAGAGACAATAAAATGTTGTACAGTTCAACAGCGAATATTTTAAGTAACGTTGAATCCATTGCATTCGGTCTGGCCGGTGTGTGTAATGGGGATGATCATGATAGCAAGAATGAAGAGTTTAATTCCAAACGGAGCTAAATCCATTTTTGTAACTTGAGAGAAAAAAGAATTTGTTCACCAGGTTTTGTACACGCGTCTACGGAAAAGTGATATTAAAAGGTGCATTTTTCATAGTTTATTCGCAAAATTTAGGTTAATAGTTTTGTTGAAAGACAGGCTCTGAAGTAAACAATGTTCTGATATCTATAACTCAATTTTTATCAAAAGTAGATTTTGCTCCTTTTCGAATAAAACTCTGCTAATAATGAGTTCAAAATGTAGCATGAAGATGATTACATTAATGTGAATTTCTAAAAAGAGATCCTTTACGAAATCCAGCTTTGTCGTAAAGAAGTGACATCAGAATACGAATAATCATTGTAAGGACGTCGCCAAAAACACTTAAAATGAATGTCTTGATTGTAATGTTGAACATCTTTTGATCAATTACGAGTGGGCTGATTCCATTATGGAAAAATATATAGTGAACAGTTTACTCCATGACCACTGATTTGTTGAGGGTGAAGTCACTCTTATTTGTCTGTCTCCATTATTTCGTTATTTAGTTCATGACCCTGTGATGTTGCACCTAATGTTACTTCATTCTTAAAGTTTAGTGGTTGGTTTTTAACTTATTGTTCATCTGTACAACAACTGCATTGCTAAACGACGAAGCCTACTATTTATTTATTTTTTATTTTTGTTGTGAGTGGGGGGGGGGGGGGGTAATATATTGAGAACAAAAATTAAAATGAAATATAAATACAATTTAATTACTTCCAAACAATTTGTATTGTATAAGATGTGATGGACTTGGAATATTACAGCGTCTTGTTATGCTCACCTTAATTTCATGTCGTCTATTCGGTCGGTGCAAATGCCGTACATACGTATAGCCTGCGCCGTCTCGTCACGTATTGCTGCTAAAGCTTTTCTGTAGTTATTAAGTATTGCACTACGTGCAGCGTGGCTCTGAAAAAGAAAAAATGGAAAAAGAGTTGGATAGATTGACCAAAGAACTGTTAAAATTTCTTGCATTAAACATTAAACACAACTCGTTACGCAAGAGCTCCCAAAACAATAACAGTTTCTCTAAAACCCTTTTTTCACAAAGCAACTTTAAAGTGTTACGCCTGGTTTCTACATCCCTTTGACAAAAGTCTAAAATATTTGATACGTGTCATAACATCATGATCGATATTATTTGGTATTAAAACCAAGACTATATTACCATATGTTAAATTTTCCTTAGCACATAGAAACCAAAATGTGTTTCAGAATTATTATTATTATTATTATTTTTTAAATTGTTTCTTCTATTTTATGAATAAAATCATTCTGAAGAAAATAAATTACCCGTACTGATTCACCAAATCTCGCCTCTGCTGAACTTCCTCCTCGCCATCTCTCCTCTTGAATTTCCACTGCCAAAGTTTGTCTCTATATCTCTTCTTGATCGGCGGATTGATGTCAGGTTTGCATTTTACAACATACAGTTTTGGCACAAAAAGACACCCTAGATTGGCAACACTCGAGAACATAAGCCGAAAGAGAGGACAAAAGTCCGGTAATGACGACCTTTGGGTAGAACGAGATAGATGACCAGTATGGTCACCCAACCCATGACTTGGATGATAAAGGAAAAGAAGATGAACTTTCCTTCCTGGAAGTTCTTGTCTCGGTTGCGGATGTTGAAGGAGACAAATATCCCGACGACGTCAAGAGTGATGCAGAAGGCAATGATGACGATGATGCCATCGTAGCTCCCCGAGCTGACGCAGTCGACGTAGACGAGACGTTGGTCGCGATCGACTGTCTTCGTGACGACGGGGCGACTGGTCAACATCCAGATCAGGATGCATTGCCCGTGAACGAAGAGGACCGCGATCATGGAGAGCGCCCAGTTGTTAAGCTGGACGTGCTTGCGATTGTACGTGGAGTAGGCAGCAAGAATGAGGCTTCCTTCTGTGACAGATACAGGTAAGAGTTGAGTACCAGCTACGATAAGGCACGTAAGCTCCGAGGCAGGGATGATAGAGAGCGTTGCAGTGACGAACGTTATGGTGATCCCGAGAAGGACAAACTTCCAGGTGCGCGCGAAGGCATGGAAAATAATGGTTGTGTTTTCCTTGAGCATGAAGATTACGATGATGATGACGCATATTAACCAGCCGATGATAGCAGTTGCCAGGACGGCCAAACCGATCTCGGATGTTAGTTCTGTAAAGGTATATGGTAAGTCAAGGCATTCCGTTCGGTCCTCGCTGGATGCCTGTTCATCGCTACATGGAGAGCACGATAAGGCGTTGCTCTCGTTAGTGTAGTGGTTATTAGAGCAAGGCACACAAATCCAACAGCAACTACTGAAGTCAAGGGTAATACGTCTAGTACCAGGGTAACATGTTTCTCCACACACCGATGTCGGCGTTAAAGTTTTCAGAGTACAAGTGTCTGTCATTGGCCAGTAAATCGTTTCCAAGTTTGAGATCGAAACTTCAGCTTCCTTCCAATGGCCAACTATGTTTAGATGGAACTCATTCGAGCATGGATACTTTGGTTGCAAGTTGTAGAAGTCGTACCAGGCGACTTCCGCAAGATTTCCCCGTTCGTCCGGAGCCAACCTGTAGCCGGAGTGGCCCATGAAGTCCACATTCTTCATGTAGTCAATCAAAACTTCCCCTGGGATACCGCCTGAACGTGTGTCACACTGTACATCGTTGCAGGAAAGCGCTTTATGCATAGCACGGGCAACAACTTCCACAGAATCCACGACTGATGAGACCAAGGATGTATTGGAGAAGGCAAGGGAAGAGTTAAAGGACTCTTCTCCCGTGCACTTCCGATCGTAGTAGTAAACGCTCTTCTCAGAAACGCCTGGCAAGTGACACTGGAAGAAGTCTTGCCAGTACTCGTTCAAGAATGGATCCTGGTAGTCCAACGATTTCGGGGTCAGACTGAGAATGTAGTCTTCGAGCTTGGGGATCGTCTCAGTGTGCGGGAAGACGCCGATCATTCCGCTGGTAACCCGAGATATCTTTGGGTCCAGTACGGTTTTTGATGCTCCCCAACCATCGCTGCCTATCCACATATAGCCGGTGACGTTGTTCTCAGCGAAATAGGTAAGTAGCTGGTTCATGGGAGCTTCGTTGGCGAAGGCAACAATTACCCGTACATCTGGGATTTGTCTGCAATAGTGGAAGGAATTAGAAAAGGACAAAAATACTATCAGTTTCGATCGATGATGCACTGTAATTAGCTTCGGATGTAGGGTTCGGAGAGTATTGGAATGTAAATGGATAACTCTTATTCTTAGTCAAATAATTGCTTCATTTTTTTTTTCAGGGCTGTTGCCAGGTCAAATTTCCTTATGTTTGAGAAGTATTTAAGCTTCGAACTACATGCGTCTCAAGAATGTCATCTTTTTGTTTAAAAAAAAACTTTTTTATATGCATGCAAATTCCAAGAGTCTGTAGTTTCTATTGTGAACTGTTGATTGGGTGAAATACATCACTCCTTAATAAGAGAAGAAAAGATGTAGCTTCGGAGAGTATTGGAATGTAAATGGATAACTCTTATTCTTAGTCAAATAATTGCTTCATTTTTTTTCAGGGCTGTTGCCAAGTCAAATTTCCTTATGTTTGAGAAGTATTTAAGCTTCGAACTACATGCGTCTCAAGAATGTCATCTTTTTGTTTAAATATTTTTTTTTTTATATGCATGCAAATTCCAAGGGTCTGTAGTTATTATTGTGAGACTGTTGGTGAAATGCATCACTCCTTAATAAGAGAAGATAAGATGTAGCTTCGGAGAGTATTGGTTGTTCCCAGGTGTACTTACCAGCTGCATGTTTTTCATGTTGGTATTTACTTGGTAGTTAAGCTATTATATGGGAAGATACTGGTTTACAACCCTGTGATTATTAAGGATGTTCCCTTTTTATATGTTGATTATTGAAATGTAATTTACTCCTGAATACTTAATCAATTTGTGATTAATAGATTCAAGAGCCTTCAAAGATTTTCGTACATGACATGTTTTTTTTTTTATAATTGCAAGGAAGCATTTATTTTGTGTATTCTGTAAGTCAGGCTATTATAGCACCTTCAATGTGGAGAGGGTACATAATCCTTTATAGCCTTATTTTCGGGAATGTTACCTTCAAATAGAAATTTTTAGAGTGGGAGGGGTGGGGCGGGGGAGCTGCAATATTGCATGCCTTACATGTATCAGTTTCTTTCCCAGATGACGGGGTTTCGTTCTTGCTTTTTCGTGGGGTCCTTTAAGGTGGGGGATTGGCTCTGGGACTGGGTTAAATTTTCTTGTGTGTGATAGGTTATGGATGTTCTGATTAATTGTAAATTGTTCTCCCTCAACGTGAAAGGGATCAGGGACAGAGATAAAAGGGAACGCATATTTTTCTGGTGTAAAGATAAAGGGGCGGACATTGTTTTCCTACAAGAAACATTTAGTACTAGCGATTGTGAGGACAAGTGGGCTTCAATGTGGGAGGGTTCTACTTATTTTAGTCATGGTTCTAATCACAGTAAAGGAGTTCTCGTTTTGATTGCGCCGAGGATAGATATTGAGATATTGCAAGTCTTAAAAGACAGTGAGGGTAGATATATTTTTATAGACTGTAAGTTTCAAGGTGTAAGGTTGATTTTAGGCAATGTGTATTTTCCAACAAGAAATTTTGAGAGTGATCAATTGCAATTTCTTCGAAAATTACGCAATAATCTGGCTAAGTTAAATAAAGATAACTACCCGGTTATAATAGGTGGTGATTTTAACATGATTAGGGACATTGAATTTGATTATAACGGGAAATCTTTAAACAGGATTTCGAAAAGATTTAATCGAGAATTTGAAAAATTCATGGAAGATTTGCAGCTTTTGGATATTTGGAGATGTAGGCATTCTTTAAAAAGGCAATTCACTTATATGCAAAACAATCCCTTTATGCAAAGTAGACTAGATTACTGGATAATATCAGAATGTCTAGAGGAAATGGTTATGAAGTGCGATATAATTCCATCTGTTGCCCCTGATCATCATTCAATATTTTTACGTTTATTTGACAAAACAGTCAATAAAACGAATGGAAGAAAAGGGTCATATTGGAAATTCAATAATAGTTTATGTGAAAATGAAGATTATGTTAGAGAGTTAAAAAAGAAAATTTGTCAATTAAAAAACGAATTGCAAACTAAAATAAAAGACAAAAGGTTGTTATGGGATTTTTTTAAAATGAAAATTCGGAGCTTTACACAAAAATTTTCAAAAAAATTGGCTGATCAAAGAAGAACAATAAGAACAGATTTAGAAAAAGAAATACAATGTTTAGAACAACAATTGACGGAAAGCACTAATGCAGATACTTTAGAAAAATTGGAAATACAAAAAAGAAATTAAAGGAAGTTTATAGCTATGTAAATGAAGGAATTAGGATTCGATCACGAGCCTCGTGGTACGAAAGCGGAGAAAGGGATTCGCGTTATTTCAATCAATTAATGCAAAATAACAAAAGAAAGAGTACTATTAAAAAAATTAAAACCTCAGATGGTGCTATTTGCTGCGATGAAAAAAGGATAACTGAAGAAATCCGGAAGTTTTACAGCATGTTGTACAGTAAAGTAGAGTACGAGTGCTCGGATAATTGTTATAATAGTTTCTTTCAAGGTTTACCGAAATTGACTGAAAAATCTCGAGAATACTGTGAAGGATCTATAAGTAATAAAGAATGCCTAGAAATCTTAAAAGAATTAAAACAGAACAAATCACCTGGAAATGACGGTTTTTCTTCAGAATTTTATCGTACCTTTTGGCCGAATATTGGAGATTTAGTTAAAGATGCCTTGAATGAAGCATATAGATTAGGAGAATTAGCATCGTCTCAAAAACAAGCTGTAATTACGTTAATCGCTAAAGATGGGAAAGATCCCTTTTCACTGAAAAATTATAGACCCATTTCCCTTCTTAATGTCGATTATAAAATCTTAACAAAAATTTTGGCTAAGCGAATCAAGAAAGTATTAAATGAGATCATTATGGGAGATCAGGTGGGCTACATGAAAGGGAGGAATATTGGCGAGGCCATTCGCATTATAGATGATATTATTTTTCATACATCCCGTTACAATTTATCTGGTTTTTTGTTAGCTGTAGACTTCGAAAAAGCTTTTGACTCAATTTCACATCAATTTCTTCAAAAAGTTCTGTCGTCATTTGGTTTCGGTCCGTCCTTTCAAAAGTGGGTTAAAGTTTTATACATGAACACTCTAAGTTGTGTATTAAATGAAGGAGGGTCCACTGGTTATTTCAAAGTAGAAAGGGGAGTAAGACAGGGAGACCCTCTTTCTCCGTACCTCTTTATCTTGTGTATTGAAGTAATGGCACACAAATTACGAATAGATAAATTGGTGGACGGAATTAATTTTGGAGATAAGGAAACTAAACTAGTACTTTATGCGGATGATATGACAATTTTTGTTCGCAATAAAAAATCAATTAATAGGTTAAAAGTATTATTTGCAGATTTCGAAAAAATTTCTGGACTGAAAATAAACAACGACAAGACTAAAATATTAAGGTTAGGTTCATGTCAACGTTTAGATTGTGATTTTGCTTTTGGCGAAATAGTTGACTTTCTTAAGGTTTTAGGGATTTTCTTTTCCCTCGATGAACACAAGAAAGAAGATCTAAATTATAAAGAAATCTTAAGTAAAATAAAAACACTTTTAAATTTTTGGAAGCAAAGGGATTTAACACTTATGGGTAAGATTCAACTATTGAAAGTGCACATTTATTCTAAAGTTCTTTATCGGGCGTCACTTACTCCTGTTCCAAAATGGGTTTATGATTCACTGGATGAATTAACTTTTGATTTCATATGGAAAGGAAAAACAGATAAAATCAATAGAAACACCATGTTCTTAGACTATAACCAAGGGGGGTTAAAGATGTTAAATTTTTCTGCACAAGTTAAATCGCAGCGAATTATGTGGATTCAAAAACTTCTAAACAAAGATGAAGACATGAAATGGAAACAATATTTTAACTTTGTCACTGAACACGTGGGTGGAGATTTGATATTTTCATGTGACTATATACCAAGTTTATTAAAAGTGACAGCTCCACAATTTTATAAGGATTTATTAGAAGATTGGGTGAATACGAGACATATAAGGAGTATAGACATTGGTGATGTGGTAATTTTTAATAATAAACTTATTCGATATAAAGGAAGTTGTATATACGATAAGAGGTTGTATGACAAAGGAATTTACAAATTAAAACATATTCTGGAAAACGATGGTAAACTAAAAAGTGACAGGCATTTTATCGATTTAGGTGTTGAAGTAAATGAAATTGAAAAGATCAAGCACTTTTATACCTGTTTACCAGTTTGTTGGAAAAATAATTTTAGAAAGGGAGAAGAAAAAATAATTCTGGAACTGATTTCACTTTGGGGAAGAAAACAACTAATATAGCTGATTTAAAATCAAAACAAATTTATGTACAATTAATAAAGAAAGATGATTTTAAACCTTTGGTTTTTGAGAGAATTGGAAGGAACTATGGTTTTTCTTGTAAGGAAATAGAAAACATATTTTTAAGACTAAGACAGTGTACACTTAACAGTCGATTAAGAGAGTTTCAGTTCAAACTTATACATAATATTATATACAAACCATCACCTCTTCCGTTTTGGTCTTGTCTCGACTAACTTATGCTCATTTTGCGAAAAAGATGAAGAAACATATAAACATTTATTCTATACTTGTGAATTTGCACAATCAGTGTGGGAAATGTGCACGAGATTTTTAGACTTTGAAATACATAACTGTAGTTTGGAGGAAATTCTGTATGGGAAAGAGGAGAGAAATAAAGGAAAATATCAATTAATGAATCATGTTTTAATTCTTGTTAAATATCTGATTTATAGAAATAGAGAACTTAAAAAACCACCCTCTTTTAATGAAATAAAGAATAGTATAATAGGGGATAAAGTAGAAGAAAGGAAATTGGCAGCAATGAGGGGAACTCTCACTATTCATTTTTCTAAATGGGAAAACCTGAGTATTAGACAAACAATTGGAACCCAGAGCCAGTCGTCCACCGGGGGAATGGGGATAAGGGAGAGGTCGGGTAGGGTAGGGTTAACAAAAAGAGAAAACTTTTCTCTCAGGACAACAGTATAAAAAGAAGTATAAGTTGCTACATTGTTAAAACAAAACAAAAATTGGATTATACAACTGCATATGTTTTCTTTGAAAATATGAATTTTTGTTTCAAATATGATGTATAGGAACTAACTATGTAAGTTTCTTTTGAAGCCGTTTGTAAGACAAAAATTTATACTGATTTATAATGTCATCACATTTGCAGTGAGAGTTATGATGATTGTAATTTGTACTATGATTATAATTTGTTTCAAGAGAGAAAAGAATAAAACTGACCATAAAAAAAAAAAAATTAGGTAAGATGTATGGGGGCAGATCCATATTTTTAAACTGTACGAAAGATTTCTTGGGGGCAAATTCAAAACTTAAAAAAAAAAAAAAAAAAAAAAAACGTTTAAAACCTTTCCCCTGAAATTGGATTGCCACTTTTCTGTGGACCTCCAAAGGGGCTTCAAAAACACGATTGTGGGGGGGGGGGGAGGGAGGTTCGTGTGTTTTAGGTATGTCACATTGGTTGTAAGAGGGGATTTTGTATTCCCCCACCCCCCAATCGCCCTGGATCCGCCACTTTGCATGATAGGGAGTAAGATTAGATTAAGCTCCCCTTATATTTATCATCCACTGTTAATTATTTATGTATGTTTTTATATTAAAAAAAATAATGGATAGGATATCTTGTGTGTTATTGTCCTATTTACTCTTGCCATTATTACGCTATTTCCAACCTCTACGGGATCCTGACCTTTTCTAATAATTAAAGTTGCTTAGACTAACTGCGATAGACGCAATTATGGCACCCAGATTATGGCGCCCAGATATCAACGAGTGGCGTTGGGTGGGTACAGACACTGAGGGGGTATCGACTTCATTGGGAGGGGGGGGGGGCATCGGTCTTATCAGGTGAATGAAATTCAGAGAGGGCTGAGAAGATGAAGGCGTGCGAAAGGTGTGGCTTTCTACGTTTTCTTTACTTCTGTCCCTTTACTCTCCTTTTCACCCTTTTCATTTTCTTAACGCCATTTGACCGGGGCACCTGCTTCTGTGCCCTTTGTAGCTGTCATCGAACACTAACCTGAGATCAGTGACGATTCTCTCGAAGTCAGACCGGTCATCGCTGACGCCGAAGATCTTCTTGTAGGCGATGCAGATGTTGTGTTTGGAAGCCTCGTCTTCGAAGACATAGACGCCGCTCACGCCGTACGCCCCCTCATCGTTACCGAGCAGGGCGACGGTATGGAAGCCGAAGTGGTTGGCGAGGTGGGCCATGGCTCGGGCTTGGAACGTGTCCGTCGGGATAGTCCGGGTAAAGTAACTAGAAGAAAGAATGAAGGGAAAACTTAATTTCATAGATAACGAAAAATATATGTAGAAAATTAACTGTGTTGAGAAAACAGTGTAGCAAAGAGATGCTAAAATATGATATGTGTTTTGAATTCTTTGAAAAAAAAGAGCAATTTGGGTAAAGTTTGTAGGAAATCTCTGTTTTTTTTTGGTTTCGATGACATTGGTGCCATAATAAATACAAAATGGGCCGTAGAGAAATAGGATGGTCTTGGATGTTTATTTTTTTTTAAATTAAAGTGACAGTTTTCAGCGGTTAGCTTGCATTCCAAATAGAAACTTCAAATCGTTTTGAAGTGACTTTGAAAGTCATTTACTGTTATTACCCACAACAATGGCGCATATACATTGCCCTTCATATCAAAGGATGAATGCTTCAGATTTTAATACTTTTTGATTATTTTGTTTGTAGCAGGTTCCCATTAGGGAGCTAGTTTTGCTTAGTTTTTTAATAGGCTCTAAGCGGGGGGGGGGGGGGATGGGGTAGGTGCTTACGCCGTCTTCATGTTAAAACTCCTTTGCATTTTGATAAATGGAAATTGTAATACAACTTAAAGTAAAGATTAGAAAGTAAATGCATGTTTTCTGAACTTCTATGATTGTTGTACTTACTTGAATCTTGATTCGCTGAGTATATCACTGGTAGCAGCATAGCTGACTTGAGGCAGAGTGAAGAGATTAAAAAGGCTTGCCACAGAGACGGCTGCACTGCTTGTGGACGGTCCTACTACGGCAGCTATAGACTGATGGCCTGAATCACTGCATGTCGAGTAAGAAACATGAATAGAAAGTTTTCACATTTAGGAGCAAACTCAGAAAAGATCACTGAGGGGAGATGCTTCTTCTCAATGTTCTTACTGCTACAGCAGCTAATGACTATTAACCAGATTCGCTGCGTGAAAAAAATCAACTAGATGGATATTACAAACAGATCTATCACAAAGATTATCTAAAACTCAACCATGGGCGATGCAATTGGCTTGTGCGTCATCTGTTGAATTGTGCGAACATGACAATGATGTATTACGTAATCCGATCATGATTTCTAATGAATGTAAAATAAGGTATTCGAATTGTTCTTGAGTCGATTTTTCAAAAATGGTTGCGATCGAGTAAAAAAAAAATCATGAATATCATGCAGGGAAGATCCCCAGAGCAAAGGGGGGTACCCCATTCCTAGGGCCGCACTGGTGGTCGATGGTGCTACTGGAGGGAGCTATAGACTGCTTTACTAGAACATTGAATTCAAATGAAAGAAAGAAAAACAAAGAAATAATTTTTAGGTGCAAACTCAGAAAAGTTTCCCAATGGAGGGAGAGGCCCCTCCTTCCTTTGGTCGCGTTGATGGTCCTACTACTAATGATGTTAATCTGTTTGATTAAGGAGCATTCTAATAATCCCTATCAACTAGAATGCAACATCCAGTTGCGTAGCTACGGGGAAGGGGAAGAGGGTAAGCACGTTCCCCGTAATTACTCATTATGATGACGAGAAGGATTTTTCCGATCGTGGACAGATCAAATTACTATCTTTATCGTCGGAATAGGGGAGGCCGGTGCAGCCAAGAGTGCTCATCTTTGAAGAAGAAGAAGAAGAAGAAGAAGAAGAAGAAGAAGAAGAAGAAGAAGAAGAAGAAGAAGAAGAAGAAGAAGAAGAAGAAGAAGAGAAGAAGAAGAAGAAGAAGAAGAAGAAGAAGAAGAAAAAAAAGAAAAGAAGAAGATGAAGAAGAGAAGAATAAAAAGGAGAAAAAGAAGAAGAAGAAGAAGAAGAAGAAGAAGAAGAAGAAGAAGAAGATGAAGAAGAAGAAGAAGAAAAAGAAGAAGAGAAGGAGAGAGAGGGGAGAGTGTGTATGTGTGAGAGAGAGAGAGAGAGAGAGAGAGAGAGAGAGAGAGAGAGAGAGAGAGAGAGAGAGAGAGAGAAAGAAAAGAAGAAGATGAAGTAGAAAGAGTTAGATGAAAGAGTAAGAAGAGGCAACCGATAAAGAAAAAAAGAAGAAAATGAAAACAATGAAGAGGCTGATGGAAGAGGAGGAAGGGGGTGGGGAACGGGTAATGTGAGAAAATAAAATTGAAGTAGTGATAATGGAAAAGAGGTAAGTAAACAAACAAAATCATCGCAAATAATCGCAAAGTAGCATCCATTATACGTTCCTTTCGTACAGTTTGCTAAAAATTCTCATTTTCTGCACTGCCAGTTTAGAGCTTGTTTTTCAACAAATGTAAAACATTGAAATCTGTTTGTATCCACCATTGTTTTTTATTTTATTAATAATCAAAGATTGCTGGGCTTTTTGTTTTGCTGATAATGCCGCTTCCCATATTTTCCAAGAAATGCACTCTATTGTATGAAAAGGTAAATCCTGGGGGCGGAGCGCTTGCTTGAGGGCAAAAAAACATATTAAAGGGGACGTGGGCCTCTGCTTATTAATCTATTAATGTGCGTCGCAATGTTCTGATATAATGCACAATACGAATAACGTGTAAACTACATCGGGCTCGATGAAAGGGAAGGTTATTTCATCTTCGACCAGACATAGAATGAGGTTTGCCTTCGAGTGCAAAAAGGTAACAAAATTGTGTTATGAGAATATAGGATAGACATCATTATGCATAGTTAAAGAGCAATCGATCGATGAGTTTCTGATACGTGTAAGACTTAAATTATTCAAGCAACATCAATCATAACTATGAAGACTCGAGCTGTTGCTATTTTACAACCCCGTCACACCGACGAATCGATCAATAACAGACATGGACTAGGTCATTCGGGGGTAATATTTATGGTTGGTCTATTTCCGGTCTGGTGTTAGTCTAAGCGGTGTGAATGGGACGTTACCACCTAGTATGTAATTTTACTTTAATTTGCTTACGGCTACCAGACACCTTAAAGAAATTGGTTATTATCTTGGAAGAAGATGCAATTTTCGATGAAATTTTCCGATTCTAATTTCTTATACGTAATGATTGATCGCTGCAAGCAATATGGAGATTGAGGGGTATTTAAAGTTTTTTTTTTTTTTTTTTTTTTGGGGGGGGGGGGGGGGGGGTGTCGGTAGGCATTCGTGAAATGTTTGCATGTACCCTCATTGCAATTTTTTTCATTCGTTAATTTCTTTATCTCTCTCTCTCTCTCTCTCTCTCTCTTTCTCTCTCTCTCGTTTCTTTCATTATGTAGCTTTTTGATATCTGTGAAGCTCCGCTTCTTTCTCTCCCTACCTCTCTCTTGCCACTCTCTTATTCACCCTAAATTTCCCCCTTCTCCTCTCCCTCACTCCGCATCTCTTCCAGCCCACCCCATATCTCTGCTCTCTCCTCATCCCTCTTAATCTTTCCCCCTCTCTCCTTCTTTCTCATTGTAAATTCTCATCGCGTATAAACCTACCTGTCGCAATTTGATGAATCCTGTGTAGCGATGAAGTAGACCGAGTTCCTCACGGCGATATTGGGATCAGTGCACGTGTCATATATGTCAAACCCTGAGGGATAACAAGCAAGAGAATGTGTTCAAAATCTTGATTTTACCTTGAAGAATAATTATATCAAACACACATATGGATCGAGGCCTATTGATTTGGTGGGGGGGGGGGGGGCAAAGAAATATCGAAATCAGAGGCGTATATATAGAGGATAACGTTATAAGCCGGAGTATTAAAGCACACACCCTTACACATACTCATTACACATTTAAACCTCGCGAAAAATGAAACTCAATGTAACTTTAATACAATGGGTGTACATCACCCTGTACTTCTCATACACACTCTCTCTACGTATAATTCTAGCGAGGATGCCGCCCCTCCCGCGGTTTCTCACTTATGGATACGCCAGTGGAAGTTTAATTGAACGCTGCAACTTGAGACATCCTGACCGAGAGGGAAACTTGCAATCAGTGTATATACTGTACATCTTCCGGGGCTGCCGGGATACAACACACGCTCTTCTCATAATATACTCCGGGGTGGGGGAGGGGGGGGGGTTCCATTGCCCATGTACGGTTTCTCACTTATGGATACGCCAGTGGAAGTTTTATTGAACGCTGGAACTCGAGACATCCTGACCAAGAGAAGACTGATGGCCAAAGATATCAGTTTACCAATGTACCCAAATTGTTTTGCATGTAAAGTTAATATCAAACAAATCGTTCATATATATGTAAATGCCAAACAAAAATCACTTCAAAGTATTCAAGATTATAATACAAATATTAGAAAGACAATTAAACTCAAATAAAAAAATCACGAAAGTTTGTTATTACTGATTGCATATGGTGCAAAAAGAGAATAAGCGACAGGGCCAACAAAAGAGAATAAACATTTGTTGAATAAGATCATTAACACAATAATACCTAGACAATATTATATTCATAATACCCAAACAAAGTACAACTTACAGTATTATAATATTAGTTTATAGGAGTCCCATTAGAAGAATTGGAAGAGAAAAATGTTCAATTAGAAAAAACGCGTTGTATTAATTAGAATATCAGAACATATTGAACATGAGAATGTGAACATATAAATAACATTTACCAGTGGGTAAGAAAAAGGCACACAGAGTGAGGTTACACCAGAAGATACATCGCTCAATAGCATAAGTACTGAAGCCCTACTGTACTACTTATAGCTTATTGCGCCCTTTATACAGCTCACAATGCCGAAGCGATACCCGTTGATCCCCCATGATGCCCTTTTTCTTATGTTAATTGAGAGAGCTGATTTGATGAGATAACCACCTGATCTCGCAGGGAGGTCTAATTCCTCCATGCCAAACTAGTGTACAGGGGCTTTAAAGCCCCTTTAAAGTCTTGTGAGCCCCACAAATTTTACGACAAAATCAAAATCTACAATTTCTGTTATTTCAACTTCGCTCTCCCTCATCTTACCCACCAAGAAATCATAATCAGTCTATACATCACTTTCATCCACCATATATTGGGGTCTGAGCTTCCAAATATCTCTAACGGAGACCGGATGAAAAGGAAGGAGAGATAGAGAGAGGAGGGGTAGGGCAAGAGGGAGAGGGGGAAGAAAGTGAGGGAGGGTATATATATATATATATATATAATATATATATATATATATATATATATATATATATATTATATATTATTTGTGTGTGTGTGTGTGTGTTTGTGTGTGTGTGCAGTGGATTTTGAGAAAGCTTTCGACTCTGTATCTCATAGATATTTATTTCAAATATTGAAATTGTTCGGTTTTGGAGATTCATTTTGCTCTTGGGTAAAATTATTGTATAAAGGGATAAGTAGTTGTGTTATGAACGGTGGTCACTCCACGGGGTATTTTGAAATAGAAAGGGGAGTAAGGCAAGGGGATCCATTATCGCCATATTTGTTTTTGGTTGCCATCGAAATTTTGGCGCATGCAGTAAGGAGGGACAACGGTATTAAAGGGATTACATTTGGAAAATCTGAAATTAGGCAAGTGTTATATGCAGATGATATGACAATATTTTTGAAGGATATTGATTCGGTTAGAAGGTTGCAATATATTTTTGAATCATTTGAAAAAATTAGTGGTCTTAAAGTGAATAAAACAAAGACACATTTTATGTGGATGGGTGAGGATGAGAACAAACCTGATGGGCCTTTATTTGGAAATTTGGTTAAGGAAATACATATTTTAGGGGTTAGTTATTCATTAGATCGAAGTTTAAAAGATGATTTGAATTATAAAGAAATTCTAAGTAAAATAAAAAAAATGCTTGTATGGTGGAAACAAAGAGATTTAACTATTATGGGTAAAATACATTTGCTAAAAACTTATGCGCTTTCAAAATTAAATTATATTTCATCTCTCGTTATTGTCCCTCATTGGGTATATAAAGAAGTTGCAAAAATTTCATTTGAATTCATATGGAGGGGGAAAGATAGAATTAAACGGGCAATAATGTATCAGGATTATGACTTTGGAGGATTAAGAATGATTAATTTTGAAATGTCCGTTAAAATACAGCGCATAATGTGGATAAAACGTCTTTTATATGGAGAGAAAAGTTTGGGATGGAAATTGTTTTTTGATCATTGCTTACAGTTTGTGGGTGGTAGATTTATTTTTTTATGTGATTATGATTTAAACAAGATTAAACTCGTTTTAGATATTCCACCATACTATATGGAAATGTTGCAAGCATGGCAAGAGACAAGTAATTTAAGATATTTGGAGGGTTATATTAATCCAATTATTTTTAATAATCAGAATATATGTATAAATGGAAAAAGTATATTTGATAGATACTTGTTTGAAAGAGGGATTGTTCAACTGAATCATTTGGTTGAGAAAGGTCATGTTAAGCCTGTTAAATATTTTATGAACCTCGGTATGAAAGGTAATAATTTGCTTATGATTATTGATATTTATGATGCGATACCCAGGTTATGGAAGGATGATTCAGGGTCAATAGAATTCCTCGAGGTTGATTTGATAAGCTTTAATACTTATTTCCATATTTCTAGTAAAAAAATACAGTTTGTGGATGTGGGTTCAAGAACAATCTATGATTATTTCATCAAAGCACTGCAGCGAACGTATGATTTGCAGGTAAGGGATGGGCAAAATGACTATGATTTTATAGATAAAGAATTAAAAGAAATATTTGTGAGACCAAGAATTACTATACTCATTAGAAAACAACGTGAATTTCAATTTAAATTATTGCATGGAGCCATATACACTAATGAGCATCTTCATAGATTTGGTTTTGTTGGTGATAATTTATGTTCGTTTTGTAAGCAGGAAATAGAAACATACAAACATTTATTTTTATCTTGTGGGAGCGTTCAAAGGTTATGGCAGGCTTTAATACAACTTTTTGAGTTAGATGAAATTAAAGATTTAGAATGGCGAGATATATTTGTTGGGTTGGTAGGTAGTTCATATAGAATAAAAATGTGTAATACTATCATTTTCATGGTGAAGTATGTTACATTTATGTCAAGATCGGGGGGGCGAGTACTAACTTTAGAAAAGATGAAAAAAAGCATTTTTAAGTATAGGGATGAGGAAAAGAAAATAGCAATTAAAATGGGAAAGCTAGGATCACATTTTTTAAAGTGGGAGCAGCTTAAGATTAATTAAGATTTGCTTTCTTCTCCACCGTGAGCTTGTTAAAAGCGTAACTCGATTTTGCGGCCTGGATAACTTATTTAGTATATTTTTCTTAAGTTGAGAATGTTGGCAGACATCCACTGAGTGAGTACTGTGTGTGTGTGTGGGGGGGGGTGGGTGGGTGGGTGGGTGAGTATGTGTGTGAGTGGGTGAGTATGTTTGTGTGATAGAGGGTGAGTATGTCTGTGTGATGTAGGGGGCAGGGAGGGGGCAGGATTGTTTCAGTAAAATTATCTCCAGATTTGTTTTTTTTTTTTGTAATATATAGTAAATAACATTTACAATTGACATATTATGTTTAGGTACTTATACGTTTACTTTGTTGTTAAGTTATATTATACTGCAAATAAGTTTGTGTTTAATTATGTTTATGTAAAAGCATCAATATTGAACACGTTTATTTTATTCAATTGTATGTCATGGTTTGTGTTACACATCTGGAGAAATAAAACAAAATTGTTAAAAAAAAAAAAAAAAAGTGTGTAAATAAATATATATATATATATACAAGTGAACGACAGGTACATGTAAGAGCGGAAGAAAAGAGGGAGAGGGAGAAATACACCGAGAGTGAGGGGGAGAAATAAAGGAGAAAAACGGAGATCGAGATAGGGGAGAAAAGAATAAAGAGAGAGAGGGGGAGGAGGAAAAAGGTTGGGGAGATACAGAGAGCAAAATTAGGGAAGAGCGGGAGATGAGAGGATACGGAGAGATATACCGAGAATGAGGGGAGAGGGGGAAAAGGAGAGAAACAGATGGAGATAGCAGAGATTCAGATTCAATAGAGAGAGGGGGAATACATCGAGAGAGAGAGAGAGAGAGAGAGAGAGAGAGAGAGAGAGAACATGTTTTATCAAAACCATTCATACCGGGCACTTGGGGAATATGTTTTCAATTTCCGTCGATACATCTACATTGTACGAGTGGATGAAAAGAAACAAATGTTCATTATCCACATCGCAGCATTCCATCAAAGCTATTTCTACTTCTGCCAAAATTACTTTCTGATTGATGCTCTTGGGATTTGTGCGGGATAGCGTTCGAGAAAATAATGTGCAGTTCGGTGTGACAAAATAATGAACACGCGTAATAAAACCACTTGATACACTGTTTTATGATGCGTGAAATTCTTCATAACATTTATTTCCCATTACAAATCCAAGCAGAGCGAGTTACGATTATAATGATATTGAAATATCCACATGAATTCAATAAAGGAGTACATGAAAGATAATTGCAGCTAAGTACTCGGTGACGCATCATTTAACACTAATCATAGGCAACAAAGAATAATACTGCTATACAGATAGTAGAATACAGCATTTAAGAATACAGAACTAACACAAATGATGTAGGATGAACCGCAAATGTAGTAG